AAGGCGTCAGATCATTCCTTGGTATGTGTGGATTCTACAGGCGATTCGTTCCAAATTTTGCAAGGATAGCCAAACCATTGACCGAGCTAACAAAGAAAAATCGTCGTTTTTATTGGGATGATGCATGTCAGTCTTCGTTTGAAACTCTTCGTTCAGCTTTAACAGTTGCACCAATTTTGGCATATCCGAACGTAGACAAGCCGTACAAGTTATATACTGACGCGTCACAAAACGCCATAGGTGCTGCGCTAGTCCAAGAGACTGATTTGGGTGAAAGAGTCATCCAATATTTATCGCATCAGCTCAACGAAACCCAGCAACGCTGGCCTACTATCGAGCGAGAAGCTTATGCGATTGTATATAGTGTACAAAAGTTCCGTCCCTATTTGCTCGGTTGTAAAGTTACGATTATGACGGACCACCAGCCCCTCAAGCACCTGTTCACCAGTGAAATGAAGAATGCTAGGATTCAACGTTGGGCGATTATATTAGATGAGTATGGATGTGATATACAGTATATTAGTGGACGTCAGAATGTAGTTGCAGACGCATTGTCGCGACTGGACACCTCAGGAGAGGATTGTCACACGGATATCCCAGGAAATGGATTAATGACTAGTGAGTCATTACCGTGCCATGTCGACGAATGCGTAGACACATTCGGTGTAAATAATGAATCTTCGTGCAGTGTGAATGTGATTGATTCCGATAGAGCGCCTGACATTCAAGTAGAGACTGAAGTGAAAAGAAGTGAGTTACCTGAGGTTCCTCCCAAGGAAAAATTCAAAGAGTTTTTACAAGGACACCCCGACCTTGGTTTACTTCAGAGAGAGGATCCCGAGATCCAACAATTGATCAAAGTATTACAGGACCCAAATCATTCGAACCATGCTGTAGTGTCTCGTTATTATATTTTGGAAGACGGTCTACTATATCGAGTTTCTGATCCGTCCAAATACCCCTCATTTCCAGGTTTGCAGTTAGTTATTCCCAAGCCCCTACAGAAACTGATCATCGAAGAAATTCATTCAGGCTATTTCGGCGGACACTTAGGTATAGATAAAACGTACGACAAGATCCGTTCACGTTATTTTTGGTCCGGTTTATATCGAGACGTTGTTCAGTATTTAAAAACATGTGTCGCCTGTAATATGCGGAAGCTCAGACGCGAGCGACCCCCTCTGCAAGATATGCCAATCCCAAAATTTCCTTTCGAGCAGATCGCAGTAGACACGTCCGGTCCGTACCCTGAAAGTTTCCAAGGACACCGGTACATTATTACTGTCATCGATTTATTTTCTGGATGGCCAGAGTCGTTCGCTACCTCATCAAAAAGTGCAGAAACGGTTGCCCAAATTTTATTAGAACATATCATCCCTCGCCATGCTTGTCCTAGGATTATGATTTCAGACAATGGTACAGAGTTTTGCAACGCCGTCATAGACCAAATTACAACTTTTAGTAACATTAAACATATCCGAACTTCCGTTTACCACCCGCAATCGAACGGCAAATGCGAAAGATATAATAGAGTTCAGAACGACATGTTAGCAAAGTTAGTGAGTAAATCTCAACGTGACTGGGACACAAAGCTTCCTTCAATCTTGTCTGCTTATCGCACCGCGAAAAACGAGACTACCAAGTATTCCCCTTTCTTCCTTCTTTACGGTCGTGACCCTGTTCTACCACTCGATAGCATTTTATCTCCAAAATATCGTTACCAAGGTGAAGATTACGTACCTACCATGCTCGAAAACATGCATTCTGCCTACAGTCATGTGCGTCATAACCTAGTACAAAGTCATGAGAGAAACAAATTTTATTACGATCGTACCGCCAAGCCAACGAAAATCAAAGTCGGTGATATGGTTTACTTCAGAAACCCTACAGAGGCGACTCAAAATGCTGCCAAACTGTCGTGCCATTGGAAACCTTTTTACCGCGTTATCAAAGCCATCAACGACGTAACCTTTGTCATTAAGAACCAGCTGTCTGGCGATGTCAAAGTAGTGAACGTTCATAATTTGAGATTCGCTGATCCAGATACCCTTTGGGAAAACGTGACAGAAGAACCACATCATATCAACAGCAAGTACGAAAGTAAACAGAAGTCGTTTATCCCCGTTCCACTTCGTGTGCAGCCTCCACGTCAATCAAAGTTCTCATTCGCTGATACAGAAATGCATAATACTGAAACAGTCACAGATCGGTCTATTCGTGATTCAACCCCCAGTTCGATATCAACCCCTGTTGAAACTTACGCTCCAGCGAAACCGTCGCCGAGTGAACAAAATTACCCACCTTTACCTGAAGATTCTGATTCCGATGCAGATCTTGACGTGCCGTTATCAGAAATGCGAAAACGATGGAGAGAAGAAAAATCGAAAGACAATAGTTCTGACGATGAGAATATTCCTTTGTCCCAATTAGCAAAGCGCCTGAGAACGGAAAAGTTATCTGATCCATTCGAAGTTGAACCTACCCCTATGAAAAGACCACTCACCCGTACAGAATCAGAGTCGAACGACATGGATGCAGAAGCGCGTAGCCCTCCTTCAAAATTACAATGTGCCGACCAAGACCACGAATCGGATTCAGACGAATTGGACGCCGATGGTGTACATATTGAAAAGGAGCAAATGTGTACTAACCCACGTGTGAAAGAAGCCCTGTTAGTTAAGATGCTGAAAACACATGAGAAGTTGATGACCGACATGTTCAAACAATTAGAAAAAATGTAAAAAGGTTCCCCGGCCCACTGAGTTATTACAGGTCGGATGACAGCCGAATGTCTACAGTATTTTGTGGAACCCAGCTAGTACGATGAAGGCTGAACGGCTGTATGGTGTTATAGTGTTTATATAGAATATGGATCCCGGTTTGTATGCCGAAGACAACGTAATCGCGGTACCACGTTGTATTGTGTTGAATGATATACCGACTCTGGCTAGTATGCCACAGCCATTTATGTGTTGTTCATTTTATGTTCGGTCAGTGAACCGTTCAATTGTTCGTGTACTAACCTCATGTTTGCGAAATGTTGATAGTTGTTTGTGTGTGTTCCAGAGATGTGGGCAAGACCGTTCTTCCTGACATTCCTGTTCTATCTGACATCTCCGACAACGGCCAACGTTCTCTTCCTGCCCCGAGGCCATCTCTACGCTTCATACGACCACTGGACTCTTCACATCCCCATCGAAACCAGGACATCATGGACGTTTGTATTGAAGCTAGAGCATCATGTGAAGCTCTTTAAAAGTAAAGTCAGTAGTATATTTGCAGAGCACCGCCAACAATTGCGAAGTGACCAGGCAATTCAGCTTTTTGCTAAGTTTAACCAGAGCGTAAAAGTTATTGACATTGTAATAGATACTTGGTCAAATGTACTTGTTGATCTTTCGGAAACTAATGTTTCACTCCCCGAAGCAGTAAACTTCATTCCCCCACTTCAGGACAAAAGTGTCCATTTGTCTAACTTGAAGAAACATATTCAACAGATTCGAGTACGCAATGCTCAGCATAATAAAACTGTCGTTATCCCCGCCATCTCGGTCACAACGTGTATTGTGGTTGCGTTAGTGCTATTAACTGTTCTATACGTCCGATGTCATGTGTTTAAACCCATTATGATCCGACCCCAGCAAGTATCCGCTCAAAATCCTGCCCCTGACAGTGTTATTGTTGAAGAAACGTCAAGTGTAGCTCCAAATATCAAGCCCCGGGAAAAACTCACGGACCCAAGTCCCTCGTGCTTAAAATGGTTAAAACCGTCTCCGACCCTCGCTTCTCAGAAATCCGCAGATGTCTGATTCAAATATTTTCCAGAGGAGTTCTTTCTCCGCAGCAGAGGTACCAGTAGCGGCGCTCCCACACTCGGTCGAGCCGCCGCCGGTGCTAGTCAGCGCCACTGAGATCGGGCCGCCCCGCATCGGACACCCCACGTCCGGGCGCCCCGATAAAACTACGATGACGCGTGGTCTGGTCAGCCGACACCGGACGGACGACCCACAACAATACGCGAGACGTGAGAACGTCAATGTGTCAATATCTGACACACGATCTGGTGTCAATGGACAATGGACGGACAAACACGTGTCAGACAGCAGCGTCAAAGGTGACCTAAACCCTCTGAACTCTCTGAACTCCCTGAACTGATGTGCCCGCAGCGGAATCTTACCAGTGATTGCGAAGCGAGAACCGAATCGATGAGCACGAGTGGGACAGTAGACTATGTTTCGTAAACGGACAATGAAGAAGACTCTATAGACTTATAACTACGAGGACTGCAACGATCGGAAAAACGGGAAATTGTGTGTTGAGGTGCTGTGTATATTGTTGTGTTAGGTGTTGTTTTTGCTGTGTCGTGTGTTGTGTACGTTATATCATGCATCATATTAGGAGTATCCCAAGCCGAAAATTTTGGTCAAAATTTCAGCTTTAAGGACCTCGCGTTGTGTTGTAACGAAATTCGTTCCTACCCCGTCCTCCACCTCCCTCTGTACCTACTTACCGCCCAGCCCCCTCGCCCACTTACAATATCCTTATATGGTCCTCACTCCTCACCTGCGACGCCTGTCCTTGCCCGCTTCTGATTGGTGCTATGATATGACGTACATCTATATGTATGACGTGTGTGTATGACGTTTCAATATAGCGGCCGACGCCGAACGCCGAGCAGGAGCTGTGAAAGAGTTATTCGAAAGCCAACCGCCGTAGCGGCCTGACGTATCGTTATTCAAAGTCTCGGCCGACTGTTTATTACTTTTGGATTCTGTCGTCAAATTTGCAATACATACTTCAAGAAAAGAAAAACCGTGTTGGTTATACGGCTCGAACAAGAGGTCCCCAAACAGACTATCACAGAAGAAGACATTGTTTATTTACTTTTTACATTTGTTACATAACTGTGGGGGACCGTGTAGTCGTTGGGTACACGGCGGGGAGTAATTGATTGAGATGGTAGCCAGGGTAACTGAGGGGGACCGTACGGGCGCCGGCAGGCCCGAGTTCGCCTACTTCACGTGGCACACGTGCCTGTTCGGCATGGCGGGTACCCTGGCGCTGGCGCTGCTGGTGAGCTGGTGGTGCCTGCTCGTCTCCGTGGCCGTGCTGGTGGTGCTCGTGGCGCTCGTCCACAACTTCTCGCCGGCCACAGAAAACAACTGGGGGTCGCTGTCGCAGGCGCTCATATTCCACCAGGTATCAGTATGCGGGCGACAGACAGACAGACAGACAGACAGACAGACAGACAGACAGACAGACAGACAGAGACAGAGACAGAGACAGAGACAGAGACAGAGACAGAGACAGAGACAGAGACAGAGACAGACCGACGGACGGACGGACGGACGGACGGACGGGCGGGCGGGCGGACGGACGGACGGACGGACGGACGGACGGACGGACGGACGGACGGACGGACGGACGGACGGACGGGTGGGTCGGTTCTGTTCAGTGTTCAAACTAACCAGCAGCGGCATTGTGGTGAGGCATGTTTGCCGTTTCATTGCCTTGCGCTGAGTTGTTTTCTCCGGTCAGGTACAGGTCTCGCGGGTTTTAGCGGTAGGTTTTGCACCTAGAAAATTTAGTGTACTTCAGGCTATATCTTCGTCGTCTTAAGCTTTTGAGTGGTGAAGATGCGATCGACTTGTTGGGTAACAAGCCGGCCATGATCGTTTAAAATGGCTTCATCGTTGATCGATTAGTTTCTGAGATATAACCGGAAATGTAATCGTAGATCGATTTGTTTCTGAGATATAACCGGAAATGTAAAAGTGCAAAACCTACCGCTTAATCTCGCGAGACCTGTACGTTAGGTACGTACCTTGCGGCTTGCGCTGAGTTTGTTCTCTCTGTTGTTGTTGTTGTTTGTTCCCTCCAGGTCGACCTCAGTCGACTGTAGCCTGACGGCTCTGCAGGGTCCTGAACGCGGCCGCCAGGGCCGCGACAACTCCGTCGCCCCGCACCTCTTCCCTGTTGGGTCTAATTGTCCCGGTGAGTCGCAGCCTGGCGCCCATCAGGGCCGGGCACTCGACCAGGACGTGGTACGGAGTATCCGCCGTCTCTCTGCACAGGGGGCAGCGGGCACCCTGGCAGTCCACGTCTTCGCACTGCGGGCAGTGTCGCGACGGGTTCCGGCCGATTCGGTGGAGGTACTGGGCGGAGCCTGACCAGTGCCCCGCTCGCAACTGGTGCACATCCACCGCCTCTGCTCGATCCAGGTGTCTAACTGGTCCCGGCAGCTTCGCTCCCATGAGGCTGCGGTACCATCCGCGCGGCCAGTCGCTGACCCACTGGTCCCGCGCCGTCCTTGCCACCGCGCGGTACACCGTCATGGCGTCGACGGGGACTTCCTCTTGGTCCAGTGCTGAAGCTTGCTTCGCCAGCTCGTCCGCTCTCTCGTTCCCGGGCAGGCCGCAGTGGGAAGGTACCCACTGTAGGTAGGTACGCCTGCCGCGGGCCGACAGCTGTTGAAGCGCCGCCCAGATTTCTCCTCCTATGAGCGTTGTTTGGGTAGAGGGGCCACCCCGGAGTGCCGCCAGAGCTGACTGGGAGTCCGTGCATATCACGATCGGCTCAGGAGGGAGGGTTTGTCGGTCCAGCAGGAACTTCAGCGCTTCTCTGAGGGCTACCATTTCAGCACGGTGGCTGGAGCAGACGTTCCCCGCCGGCACCGTGAGTAGGTGCTGCTGGCCGTCCGGGTCCTCGATGAAAACGCCAGCGCCGCCGTTTGTGATGCCTCCCTCCACCGAGCCGTCGGACCAAACCCAAGTCGCGCACTGTGGCAGACTACCTAGGTGACAGGTCGCCGCGTCTCTCTTCTGTGTGGAAGTCGCATTCAGTGGTAGTGGTCCCACGTCCAGGCTGATGGTGACCCCGCTCTTCACTTCCCACGGGGGGACGCTCGCCTGCGATACTGGGTCGATAGGGGGGCCGACACCGGCCGCCTCCCACATCTCTCGTCCCAGGGTTCTCCAGCCGGCAGCCCGTCACGGATCGTAGACGGGCCGGGGCGTCCGACGCGGCCACTCGATGGAGCGGCTCCTCCGGGGGGAGCGCAGTCGCCTTGGCCAGGAAACGCGCAGCCAGTGTCCTTCTCCTCACCGATACCGGGAGAAGGCCCGCTTCCGCCATGAGCGCGTCCGACGAAGTGCTGCGAGTGCACCCCGTGACGACTCTCGCCGCTGCTCTCATTTCCCTCTCCAGAAGTTCCACGTGGGAGGGCGGCGTGGCGGGAAGCCAGGCTGCTGCGGCATGCTCCAGGGCTCCTCGGACATAGCCGCTGGCTACTGTCCGGAGCAGGGGCCGTATTCACGTCGACTTCGTAAGTCGATTTTCTTTCGTAAGTATAATTTGGTATTCACGTCGACACTTCTTAAGTTTTTATCGACGGAGTTCACGTGATTAAAAAAAAAAAATTACTTAAGAAGTAGGTCAAACTTACGACAATTCTTACGAAAATCATCGACGTGAATACGGCCCCAGGTCCTCCTCTCTCTCTCTCGCCAGGTACGCTGCGCTGAGTTTGTTCTCTCTCGCCAGGTACGCTGCGCTGAGTTTGTTCTCTATCGCCAGGTGCGCTGCGCTGAGTTTGTTCTCTCTCGCCAGGTACGCTGCGCTGAGTTTGTTCTCTATCGCCAGGTGCGCAAGTATTTGCTGCTGTTGGACCCGCGAAAGGCACACGTCAAGTTCTGGCGGCCGCAGATGCTGCTGCTGGTGGCCAATCCGCGCTCAGCCTGTCCGCTCATCCAGTTCGTCAACGACATGAAAAAGTCGGGGCTCTTTGTGATCGCGCACGTGAAGGTGGGCGATCTGGACGGCCGGCCGGCCGACCCATGCGCCGCCGAAACCCTGCTCTGGATGAAACTGGTCGACTATCTGAAGGTAGGACTGGCGCCGCCTCGACCCACTCTCCGTCCCCAAACTAGCCATCTCTCCCGGTCCACGGCTGCCTCCACACTACCCCTCTCCCCACCAGGGGTGGAGAAATATGCCGAGTTGGGGTTGCACGGGCGCAGCAAATCCGCCGCCGCCCTGGCGGTGACCTTGACCTCCGCCGTCTGGTGCGGCTTCAAAGCTAAGCCGGCGCAGCCGGCGTGGAATTGGGAAGGCTCGTGCTACCCCAACTTGGCACAATTCTCCACCCCTGCTCCCCACACTACCCCTCTCCCCACACTACCCCTCTCCCCACACTACCCCTCTCCCCACACTACCCCTCTCCCCACACTATCCCTCTCCCCACACTACCCCTGCTCCCCACACTACCCCTCTCCCCACACTACCCCTCTCCCCACACTACCCCTCTCCCCACACTATCCCTCTCCCCACACTACCCCTCTCCCCACACTACCCCTCTCCCCACACTACCCCTCTCCCCACATTACCCCTCTCCCCACACTACCCCTCTCCCCACACTACCCCTCTCCCCACACTACCCCTCTCCCCACACTACCCCTCTCCCCACACTACCCCTCTCCCCACACTATCCCTCTCCCCACACTACCCCTCTCCCCACACTACCCCTCTCCCCACACTACCCCTCTCCCCACACTACCCCTCTCCCCACACTACCCCTCTCCCCACACTACCCCTCTCCCCACACTACCCCTCTTCCCACACTACCCCTCTCCCCACACCACACTACCCCTCTCCAGCCTACTAATTAGTCTGGGCAAGGGGTGCCATCCGGCCATCATTTTTGGTGCACATATAAAATAAAATTGCTGGCCCTTCATTTATAATGAAGGGCCTGACCTGCAGCCAGCTGATAACACACCTTTGTGATGCTCCGATTTCTCGACGCAGTATTGGAAAGGTATTTGCTTCTCCTCCCGTACTAAAATAGATCGGTTAAGTAGAGCATTTAATTTTAGTCTAGAGGCCGCAAGAGAAGGTTGAAAATCAACGTGGTTTTGAAAATATTGACAATTTTTGAAGTCATATTTTCTGATTTTTTGGTAAGAATTTGATTTTGCTGGCCGCCGGCCGGTGATCTCTAACTTTTTGTCGCTGAAAGACGTGACATTGTTGGGAGGGATACCAACCACATTTGCAAGAGGAACAACATAGTTGTTAACAATAAGGCTCACGTTATACTTGCACGCAAGACACAAGTCAACGTGGTCTAGACCATGATAGACCCACAGGCTTATCACATTCACATAAGAATGTTTTGCATTCGCGTGAAGAATAAGACGAGAAGCACAACCTATTTACATCATGATGCAAATGCCCTTGGGCTCGCTCTCATCGTCACCTTGCTGGTGATTGGAGGAGTTGAGCAGAATCCCGGACCGATCTGCGCAGATTAATACCCGCCAGGTCCATCTTTCTCTACAATCTCTCTTATGGATGTTATGGAAGCCATACGCCTCACCCAGCTGCAAATAGACGGCCTCTCTAGCAAAGTGCAGGATCTGACGACATTAGTCTCGGGTATTTCGCATGCTCGCACACTCACACGTCTTCTCAAAGGAAACTAAAAGAGCCTCTTTCACATGAACGACATGAAAGCGCGCTTATGATGACATCCGAAGGCCGCGCAGATTCTGGTGTTCAAGCGGACAGTTACGCATCTGGAATGCCTTCCCCTCCATCATCACATCTTCATGAACCTCGAGGCTGGACGACAGTCACCTCGCGTCGAAAGCGCAAGCAAAACAAGACTGACGCCGAGTCAAGTGTCGGTGCGATTTTGCTCGGGTGTCAAAACGTTCGTCGTATCGCGCGAGCTGCTCGGTGGGCAAGTAGTTTTCAGAAGCCTGCAAGGAGGAACTACGCGTGCCGCCCTTGGTGTTTTACATGGAGCGATCGCATCATGCAGAGCTCTGCAAACTGACCTAGTCCTACATGTTGGTGGTAACGACCTTTCCATCTTCAGCGTTGACTACACACTGGACTGCATTGCTGAACTAGTTAAGGCTGCTAGACAGATCAGTAAGGTAAGAGACATCATCATCTGCTCGATACTGCAAGACCAATCCACGGACACTTTCAGACTTGTTTCAGACTATGAAACGTGGCAACTTAAATGATAAGGTCATGGGTTTCTGTGAGGGTGAAAATATCCGTTTTATGGACTTACGGCCCAGACTCTATGAGAGCAGTTTTCAAGACTTAGACAGGTCTCGCCTAAATCTAAACAGGGCTGGATGTAGAAATGAAAGCGACAGAGTGACCCGTTTCTATTGATATGTTTGGCTAGACCTGAGTGGTTCTCGTGTAAGTGTCTTATAGCCCTCTTGTGCTCTGCTTCTCTCGGAGGAAGGATACTTCACAGCCCGTGACACACCACCGCCAGGTCTGGGGACTAGAGAGGCTCAGCATCCGAACGATACTTCGGGGGTTGTTGGTCAGGGGAAATGGATGAGGGAGACAATATTCGTGCGGGTCATTTGGTGGCAAACTGGGATGTGAATCTAACTGGCGACGCTTTGTCAGAGTCAGAAATAAGTGTTTTACGTAAAGGTTTTAACTTTGTTCCAACTCCAAAGAGGGTAAATGATATGGAATTTATCACTGAGGTCGAGAAAGTGATTTCAAGGAGTAACATGTCACAGGATGAGGCCACCAAGGTCCGTTTTGAGGTAACCAAGGCTCTTCAAATGTTCAAAGCTGATAGGGACAATTTGACGGCAGACGAAAGGCGCACTTTGAATGATCCCAGGGGCCGGGAGGATATACTGATTTTGCCTAGCGATAAGGGTAGATCAGTGTGTGTCATTAGAAAGGACCAGTATCTATCAAAAATAAATGACTTGGTTTCGGATCTGGACACCTATGAACAGCTGCCAAGGGATCCTACGCCTTCTTATACCCGTAAAGTAAGAGATGCTCTGAAATCTGTGGAGTTTTCCCTTCACCATAGGGTTTACACACAAACTGGTCAAAGTTTGAGCCAGGATATACTAGTCTAAAAATGCAAAAAACGAACAAATTTTGGCATCAATAGATTCAGCATTTCATCGTGTGCCTCAAACCGTCCATCAATTGGCCTCAAAGGAGGTAAAAATTGTTCAAAATCGAATTTGAAAAGATGCTTTCTGAGCACATAATCTGGTAGCAATCACGTGACCTGCTATAAGCAGCTTATCGATAATTTACAAACATAATTATTAATATGCTGCTTTAAACAACATTAATCATACATTTTGAGCTTTCAGTACTTTAAATAAGGTCAAAACATCGCAAAACACAAAAGTTAATACAATAGTCACGTGGGTGACAGGAAATGTCACAGGTGCGTCAAATTTGTGACTGGGGCTTTACTTTCAAACATCGGATCTACCTGTTTCTTATAGGTATCTTGCGTATCAATGATGTTTATTTCTGGACAGATAGCACCACTGTGCTTAAGTACATACGAAACCAAAAGACGAGATTTCAGGTATTCGTGGCGAATCGCTTGGCTGTCATACATGATGGATCGTGTGTCAGTCAATGGAAGTACGTGCCCTCGGCTCAAAATCCAGCTGACGCTCTTACCCGTGGACAGAAGGGAGAATAGTTCTTACGAAACGAAATTTGGAGACAGGGTCCTCCATTTCTTTGGACAAGTTCTTGGCCTCTTCAGATAGAAGACGAAAATGCCGCACTGGATGATCTGGAACTAAAAAAGGTATCTGTCGCTGCGACGATGGAAGTACAAATGGATCCAGTCAGTAGCATAGCTGCACACTATTCGACCTGGACCAGGATGGTTCGCGGAGTCGCCTGGATTCTCAAGATAAAAACAGCATTGCAAAGGAAGGTCGCGCACCATTCTACCCAGCAGATGCAACCCACAGAGCAGAGGCTGACCGTTCAGGACATTGAAGTAGCAGAGAACGCAGTCTTAAAGGCTGTTCAGCTAAACGCGTTTTCGCAGGAAGTGCGTCATTTGTTACTCAGCGAAGAAGTGTCTAAAGCTAGCAAATTATCCCGCTTGAATATATATCTAGAAGATGGGCTGATTCGTGTCGGTGGTAGGTTGTCGCGCTCATTTCTTGACCACGACATTAAGCATCCGATTGTTCTTCCCAGCAGAACAAGGGTTACCGAACTGATCATTCAACATATGCATGAGAAGGTTGGTCATGAAGGGCGGCAACATGTTTTATCCGAGCTTCGACGGCGGTTTTGGGTGCTGAGGGCCAACGCTGAAGTGCGGAGGGTACTCGGTCGCTGCGTGAAGTGTCGACGGCACCTTCGGCCTTCGGAGACCCAAAAGATGTCGGATCTTCCCGAAGATAGGCTGCAGTTTCAGCAACCTCCATTTTTCACTTCAGGCGTTGACTGTTTCGGTCCGTTTTATGTCAAGAAGGGCAGGGGCCAGATGAAGAAATATGGTGTTACCTTTACATGCATGACCATGCGAGCCGTTCATCTGGAAGTTGTTGGAAGCCTGTCAACGGACTCCTTCATCTGCGCTCTGAGGCGTTTTATGTCACGCAGAGGCCAAATTCGCAACATTATCTCAGATCAGGGTAGGAATTTTATTGGAGCCAAGAGAGAGCTGAAAACGGAGCTGCAGGCGTTCTTGACAGATCGTTTTTACACGGAACACGAAATGCTGAAGCGTGGAATAACATGGAAACTGAACCCACCAGGTGCGTCACATTTCGGAGGCGCGTGGGAACGGCTTATTCGAAGTGTAAGAAAAATTCTCGATGGTCTTTTGGACCTGCAACCTCTCACTGAAGAAACTCTGCAGACATTGATGTGTGAGGTTGAAGCAATCCTAAACAGTCGACCTCTCACTCCCGTCTCTGCCGACCATCGCGATCTGGAGCCGCTTACACCAAATCACATTTTGCTTTTGCAAGGGGCAGCGTCAGATCAAATGGCTTTATAAACGCGCAATGATCTGGCCGGACGTAAAATGTGGAAACAAGCCCAGTACTTGGCAGATCAATTCTGGCGACGATGGAGAAATGAATATGTTCCGCTCCTTCAGACCAGATCAGAGCCACTCGTTCGCCAGAGACCTAACTTACAAATCGGGGATATCGTTCTACTAGTCGACGACGCTGTGCCGAGGGGAAGATGGCCTCTTGGACGAATAGTGCAAGTATGAGTGAGCCGGGACGGTCTGGTGCGTTCTGCGCGAGTCTGCGCGAGTCTGCGGTTCTGACTAGGCCAATCACCAGGTTAGTCAAGATAGTTGATGCAGAAGGGCGTTCAGCGCAGTGACAGCAAATTGCGACCCATGGTCTTGCAATGGGGAGAGTGAAGCTGCCACCCAGCCGATTGCTGAGGCAGCAGTTCAACATGTGCATTGGCACGTGAAGAGGACCGAGAAATGTAAAATTGTGGTGGCTGAGTTCAAGGCCCTAAAACATAAGGTTGGACGAAGTTTCCTACCAACAAGGTACTAGAATTTGTCGTGATATTTCGCCCTTGCAGTTGTTTCTTTACAAAAATAGAGCAAACAAGCATGTTTTCTAATAGTATGAAAATTTGAAAGGAAATAATAAGTCACTTTACATTTGATTCACAAAAAGCCATTTCGAAATCAAATTCAGTGTAGTTTTGACCAAACTCTAGTCGACTTATCCAGTATCTACTTAATTTTCCAGATGCGTGGTTCAGACAAACACGTTGCTATGGGCGGTTGCTAAGGACGCTATCTCGTATTTGCAGATAGTTCTGTTGTTATGAAATAGGGTAAAACAAGCTCTTTGGATATTTTCCTGTATTTCGGGGCTCATCTAATTTATCTAGCTTTGGCATAATATTTTTACTTTATCATATCATGGTTCCAGACACAGGTGGTTAATTTCAGCGCGTAAAGAAACAAGAATAAAGACTTATTATGTTATACAGAATTCAAGTCGCCAGTTCCTGGTGATAAAGTGAATGATACACAGAGATATCTGTTTTTATCCCGGTAGAAGCATCCTTGTGATCTAAGTGTGATCGATCATAAATTGTCTGAGAATCAGAAGTTTAGCTATAAGTCAAGAACTACGAAACAACCAGCTTATAGCTGGTGGAAGAGCCGCCACTCAGAAGCTTTCATAAAGTATTAATACACATGTAATACACTTTTTCGAGTATTACATGTTTCTGGGGTAGTTTCTCGGGCTGATTTCGAATTTAGCATCCATTTGAACGTTTACGAAGTAGTTTTAGTGTCTTCGTAACATGCTACGACCGACGACGCCGTCAGTGGTAGTTGACACCTACTATGGATAGCCGGTAGGACGACTAATAGTTGACCTGTCCTGACCTGACCCGATCTGGCCTAAATGCATGAAGAAATCATCTGTGATCAAAATTAACATGATATTCGTGATCAGCACCCGAAAAACCCGATAACAGCTTCACTTTACGCAGTTCTAGCAGGTCCCGATTTTCCCGACTTTTGGAACATTGAGCTGACCTGGAAGGTCAACCAATGATCTAGGACCTTAAAATTGGGTATCGTCGGCTTCCTCTCGTCACGGGCAACACCCTCGTTTTTTTCGCGAAGCTCTAGCTCGATCAGCCCCCCCCCCTCCCGGCCCTCCCCCTACACATTAGAAGCTGGAAAACGCCGCACACATGCGAGGGTTAATATTGTCAATAATGGCTACCGCAAAAAGTAAAAGCGGCCAACTTAGCCATTTTCAAAGATATCGGGCTGACATTTTTGACAGTGGGTCATCGGCTCGGTATGTGTTCAATCACATCCTCCATTCCCTTTTTTCTTCAGCACAAATGTAAGTTTTGAAGATCATCACAAAAGCAAATGCTTCGAAAGATGGATAGTGGGCAACATATCCTGAATTTGCCGTGCTGCATGGAAAGTGGTGTTGATGAGAAAAGGGGTTTTTGGTTCAGATTATTGTGGGTGCAGAAAACATTGTCTGCACCCACTGGAGAAATATTGTGGGTGCAGCTGCACCCTTGCACCCATGGTTCCTACGCTTATGCCTGTGACCCTTGGTGACCTGACCTGTGACCTAACCTGGTATTGTCAGTGACCTCTAATAGCAACATATCTACTAGGCAACTGACGCCCTATCGCTGATTCTCGACAAAATGCGTTTTCCTCGGTGTTATAGCGCATTGCCTAGAAGACCCGTGAACGGTGAAACATTTCATCTTTGACCTGACTGTGACGTCATCGGTGACCCCGAGGTCAATGAAATTTGGTTTCCCGCGACAAATTTGACAGGCCTTTCGAACGCCGTTTGAATTTTGCGGATCCGTCCAGTAGTTTCGGAGATACGAGGGGGGCAAAAAATAGCCCCCCCCCCACCAGGTCGCGTTATAAACAGACCCCACCAGGGCGCGGGTTAAGTGACCAGTGATAATTTTTACGCAAGTGATGTAGGTAGGTATACCTACCTAATAGGTTATACCAAATTTGGCGGCGCTGCGCGCCGATTTGTTACACACGCACACACACACACATACGCACGCACAAAACTGGGAAGTGTGGCAAAAAAAAAACACCCCTACCCATCGGGTGAAGACTAGAAACCCGACCCCCCCCACTCAAAAATCCGTGGCGACGCCCCTGCGTGGCACGTGCATAAGAGGTCACCCACATGCATCGGGAATAGTCCAATACTTGGTAGAAGGAATGAAGCTACCCTACAAAAATTACCGCGTGTACATCGGTCAAGTGGTTGCTGAGATATAAGCGTCGCAGAATCGTGACCACGGCCGGCCGGCCGGCCGCTCATACTCAGAAATTTCCGTTAATCTAAGGAAAGACTACGCTCGCTTCGCTCGCTCCGTAATAAGTCCAGGGCTGCGCAGTCGATGGATTTTCGGTGACTCTGACTCCGACTCCGACTCCGGCTTCCAAAAACCAACTTCGACTCCGACTGCGGGCATACATTACCTATCGACTCCAGCCGACTCTATTTCCGACTTTGACTCCGCAACCCTGCCCAGGTCTGCGGAGTCGATTGATTTTCGGTGACTCCGACTGACTCCGGCTCTGGTTTCCAAAATCAACTCCGACTCCGACCCCGGTCAGAACTGTGGTTATAAATAACATGTCTGTGAATAAAAGCAGTTTCGGGTGCAGCCACCCCCTTTTGCTTTTCACACTCAAAAGCTCGTCCAAACAGGAAGATGAACACGAAGTCAGCTTAAACATCGGTCTTGGAAAGGTCACCGAACGTAATATTTTCCGCAAACAGACGAAGACCACGAATTTGAGCAATGACATGTCGATTAAGACTCTGAATCCGGGCAAAACTGTCGACGCCGATTGACTCCGACTCCGACTCCGCAGACCTAAACTTTATTCAACGGATTTCCATGAGACTTCACGCCGGCAAAATGCAGATAAACGTGCTCCTCTCGTCAATACGCGTCAAATAAACTTTGAATTGACCACAAAAAGTCATTTCGACAATTTTACCTCATTTCCAGGTCATGTCCTGACCGGAAAATGCCGTAATGCATATCAGTCGATCTGTATCGTTGGGCTGAACACATCTAATGTATTTTTGTTGCTGTTTAATCAAGAATCATATCTCTGTCTAAGTTTACGGTAAAACAAAAAACTGCTGGAGACCATTCTTGACCTGAAATGACCTTAGGGACATAAAGAGGGGTCACGGGTGCAATGCTGCGCCTCTTGGGGCACCATATGCGATGAGATCGATGCGTGGCGACTGGCGCACACCTCGCTGTTTCTGCCTTTGAACAATTTTTGTCTGCTTTATCTGCTAAAAACACAATAAACACATTATCGAGCGTAGAAGCATAACTCTTTTGTTACGTACAAGCTTTGTTCAGTTTGTCTGTAAGCACCATCAAATATTGCAAGCTTCAAGGGGTCAATGCCCTGGGGCTGTGACGTCACGCTGGGGATCGTGACGTCAGCCGTGGGGTTGCCAGTCTAGTATGAACTAGACTTCGACCCCCCCTGGCTGAGTTCCTTGCGTTTTTATTGGTCTTTGTTTGACTCCTTAGTTTATATCCTTGGTTTATATCTTCGAACGAACGATTTGTTTTTTATTATTTTGTGTGTTTTATCCACTTAATCAGTCTTGTCTGTTTTAAAACCTTTGTTACCGGCAATACAAATTTAATGCTTAAATTGCGGTGTCAACTAAATGAAGACAAGCGCTGATACAACATGTTTGAACGCTTAAAACCACGAAAAGACAGCAAATGCGCGGCCTGCCCCCACAACTCTGGGGCCGTGGGAGCGCTGCCCTCACATCTTTTCATAGGGCCAGGAACCGTCGGGGCAGCTTGTCCTCCCTGAATTAGCGGTCGTGGGTCACAAAGGAAAACTAAGGGGAAGAAAACATTTAAGAAAAAAATCACTCTCTTTACCTGGCTTGACAACTCATGTGGAAGATTTAAGCCTTAGTTCTACGTTACCAAAAAGGTAGTTCCTTGACTCAGCTGAGACGAAATATCTCACTTTTTGCAAATGTTTTCGTTTCGTTTTTTTTTTTCGATGAAAAGGCGAAGGGGTGAAAAATAAGTGGCCTAAACCGGTGAGAAAACTAGATTTGGGGGTACCCTAGGTTTGGGTAGTCCCAACCGGTTGCCCCCCCCCCCCAAGACGGCCGGCTGGATCCGCCCTTGCCTACCCTGTATCTCATCCAGGTAAAATGGGCGCTTTCGGCGTGGTTGGGGTACCCGTTGTTGTATATGCCGGCTGCGGCTGACGGCCTCGGGCGCGGTGCTCTCAGGTGAAGGCCTTCACGGAGCTAACGCTGGCCTCGTCGGTCCGCGACGGCATGCAGCACCTGGTGCGCATCTCCGGAATGGGAGGCATGAAGCCCAACACGGTCATACTCGGCTTCAGAGACGCCCACAGCCACATCGACTTCCTCAGCAAGTAAGCACCGGCCGAACGGGGCCAGCTCTCTGGGTCTATCGGGGCCAAGTGTGTCCGGGCCGCGTCTGAGACCTCCCGGCATAAAACATTACCACTGACAGGTTTGTGAAGACAGGTAGGTCATGTATTCCTGTTTGTGTAGTTGGGCAGGTCATGTATTCCTGTTTGTGTAGTTGGGTAGGTCATGTATTCCTGTTTGTGTAGTTGGACATGTCATGTATTCCTGTTTGTGTAGTTGGACAGGTCATGTATTCCTGTTTGTGTAGTTGGACAGGTCATGTATTCCTGTTTGTGTAGTTGGACAGGTCATGTATTCCTGTTTGTGTAGTTGGGCAGGTCATGTATTCCTGTTTGTGTAGTTGGACAGGTCATGTATTCCTGTTTGTGTAGTTGGACAGGTCATGTATTCCTGTTTGTGTAGTTGGGTAGGTCATGTATTCCTGTTTGTGTAGTTGGACAGGTCATGTATTCCTGTTTGTGTAGTTGGACAGGTCATGTATTCCTGTTTGTGTAGTTGGACAGGTCATGTATTCCTGTTTGTGTAGTTGGGCAGGTCATGTATTCCTGTTTGTGTAGTTGGACAGGTCATGTATTCCTGTTTGTGTAGTTGGACAGGTCATGTATTCCTGTTTGTGTAGTTGGGCAGGTCATGTATTCCTGTTTGTGTAGTTGGACAGGTCATGTACTCCTGTTTGTGTAGTTGGGCAGGTCATGTATTCCTGTTTGTGTAGTTGGATAGGTCATGTATTCCTGTTTGTGTAGTTGGACAGGTCATGTATTCCTGTTTGTGTAGTTGGACAGGTCATGTATTCCTGTTTGTGTAGTTGGACAGGTCATGTATTCCTGTTTGTGTAGTAGGACAGGTCATGTATTCCTGTTTGTGTAGTTGGACAGGTCATGTATTCCTGTTTGTGTAGTTGGTCAGGTCATGTATTCCTGTTTGTGTAGTTGGACAGGATAGTTTCTTGAATACATTTGAACAGTATGGCGTTTCTTACTTTTGATATTTTTCGATTGACTTTCTTAAGTTTGTTAATTGTTATACTCTGTTCCATACCAAGCTTGCGGTCGGATTTCCTTTGGCATTTCGCTCCTCCGCTCAATATTTTGAGTCTTTGAATGCAAGAGCAGTATATACAGAAATGAGAAAGCACACACTGCTTTCAGGAAGGTACTTCGGCCGCAAGTTTGGAATGAAACAGAGTATAGCAAACTTCAGAAAGTCAACAATCGTTAAATATCAAAAGCAAGAAACGCCATACTGTTCATTGCCATCTGTATTCAAGGACACACACACACACACACACACACACACGCACGCACGCACGCACGCACGCGTGCACGACTGAGAAGCTTCTCGCCATTTATTCTGACGAAGATAATAATACTTGTCGAAACGTCTGAAGCTTTTTCTTTTATAATTTTAATGGCCACCTGCTGATTCTTATATATATATATATATATACAAGTGTTGTTGAACAGAATAGAGAGTTTCGCATTTGTTATTTTTTTGCTCAGACTTTCCACGTTTCGTATAATCTTCTTATTTTCTGGCGTATGTTGAAAGAGGACATTTCCGAGGTTCATAGTGAAAAGAAGGAAGAAGATGAGACACATGTTTAATGAGTAAAGACAAATCAGACGTTTCGTGTAGCATTACACATTTTCAATGGTTGATTGTTACATGATTACAGATTAATATGATGACATGATGACATATAAAAACACATCAGATGTACAATATCGATCGGTGTTTCGAAGATGGTTTCGAATGTGGCAAGGAAGTGGAGCGACTTGAATTAATCACTTCGCGTGTTGTCCTGCGTTCCGTTTATGGCGGGGCACCTTCAAAAAGCTGGAGTATCCCTCTGGCGTTGACCTGTCTGTTGATTTTAGGTTCCAGTTTTCTGATGTAAACTGCTTCCAGTATATGCAGTTTTCTCTTGTCTGTTTCTTGACATAGTATGGTGATGTTCTTAGTGATGTCAGTTCGTGTGAGATGGTCGTCTTGGTGGTGTGTGTCGTTGTGTGTCAGCAGCGCGCCCTGTTGCAGGTGCATTGTTATTCTTCTGCTAAGTGTCGTTGTTGTGTGTCCGATGTAGCCACTGTTAGCTTGGAGCGCACAGTCTCCCTTTTTGCATGAGTAGTGGTATACAACGTTCGTCTTTTTGAGGATAGATGGGTCGTTGGATGGGTTGTTTCGAAGGACTAATGATTTGGTCGTCGGGTTTTTGTAGTAGATTATTAGTCTGACCTCATGGGATGTGTTCGTGGGTCTGACGTTCCGTTTGATGATTGTTTTGAGGGCCTTTTCGTCATTTTTGTAAGCCGGGGACATTTGATTTTTGAAATATAGTGTGTGAGTAGTGGATGTGTCTTTGTCAGGTTCAACCTCACGGGACTGAGCTTTTTTGTCCATGTAAGCTGATAGGGTTTTGTTTACGATCGAATCAATCAGGGAAATTGGAAACCCATTATTTGTCAAGAGTTGTTTGATGTGTCTTAGCTCACGGTTGAAAAGTTCCCAGTTTGAGCAGTGCTTAAGGGCCCGGTGAACATATGCTCTAACGACGCTCTCTTTGAACTTATCCGGGCAGACACTAGAGCCGTTTAAGCAGCGTCCCGCATCTGTGGGCTTTCTGTACACTGTGGTGGTATACTGAACGTCGGATGAGTCAATAGCGACATCAAGGAAGTTGATTTTGCCGTTTGTGTTCAGCTCGACTGTGAACTGTAGCCCTGAAATCTCTTCTAGTTTGACTTTAAGGACATGCAGATCGTCCAGATCTTCAACATCTACGAGGATATCATCGATATACCTACAATAAAGTGAAGGCTTGCGAGTGAGGCTAGCTATGGCGGTCTCTTCGACTGACGTCATGAAGGCTTGGGCGAATAGTACGCCCAGGGGGGAGCCCATAGCAATCCCGTCGACTTGGTAGTAGAGTTGGCCAGACGGGGATCTAAACGGAGCCTTTGTGGTGCATAATCGTAGTAACGCAGCCATTATATGGGATGGGAACTCCGGTGGCGCCTGTTCAGGGTTTTCATAGGCGTACTCAATCAGAATCTTAATGGTGCGCTCTACAGGTACGTTTGTAAAGAGGTTAGTCACATCTAACGACGCAAGCTGCCCCTTCCTCTCAGATGTTTTCAGCAGATCAACAAATTCAGCTGATGACCGGAGTGAATAGTTTTGAGGCACATACGGAGTCAGAAGTTCGTTCAGGGTTTTTGCCAATGAGTAAGTGGGAAGGGGGATCTGAGAAATGATAGGGCGAAGAGGAAGACCAGGTTTATGTGTTTTGACTGTCCCATAGAAATATACTGGAAGCAGTTTACATCAGAAAACTGGAACCTAAAATCAACAGACAGGTCAACGCCAGAGGGATACTCCAGCTTTTTGAAGGTGCCCCGCCATAAACGGAACGCAGGACAACACGCGAAGTGATTAATTCAAGTCGCTCCACTTCCTTGCCACATTCGAAACCATCTTCGAAACACCGATCGATATTGTACATCTGATGTGTTTTTATATGTCATCATGTCATCATATTAATCTGTAATCATGTAACAATCAACCATTGAAAATGTGTAATGCTACACGAAACGTCTGATTTGTCTTTACTCATTAAACATGTGTCTCATCTTCTTCCTTCTTTTCACTATGAACCTCGGAAATGTCCTCTTTCAACATACGCCAGAAAATAAGAAGATTATACGAAACGTGGAAAGTCTGAGCAAAAAAATAACAAATGCGAAACTCTCTATTCTGTTCAACAACACTTGTATTGCCAACAATCTGCTTCCCAGCTACAGTAATATATATATATATATATATATATATATATATATATATATATATATATATATATATATATATATATATATATATATATATATATATATATATATATATATATATATAGCGAACAAACTAATAAGTGACGTTTCGACTTTTTATTGCTAAAGTCTGCCTCAGAAGTTAACTCTGGCAAGCCATATCTGCTTCTGGCGCAGCAAAGACAAAACAAGGCGAATCGCAAAATACACATCTACACACAACGAGCAGAAACAAGCATGGTCCTCCGGTTTCCTGGAAATTCAATTTCGGCTGTATCCACCAGGTGCAAACTACCCCACCTAGCCCTATGCATCCGCAATAAAATACGGTGGATATATCATTAATTTACCGCACCATCGTCGGTACAGTCAACGGGCGCAAATCACACAGTCGACAGACAGCCCGCAGTACACCCGTGCTCTGCGGCACAGCCTACTTGTCAGGCAGCCACTAAGGATATATGATTAAAATGCTGTACCATCGTCAGTACAGGCATTGGGCGTAAACAACACAGTCATCAGGCAGCCTGCAGCACACCCGTGCTCTGCGGCACAGCCTACTTGTCAGGCAGGCACCAGAATACCTGACAAGAGCCCTCGAGCTGACGTTTCTAAGTACTATAGCGAACTGTTTCGAAACGGAATAATGCGATAAACTGCCTTAGCGATCCGGCTATATTCTTTAGCCACAGAGTAAACATTTGGCGAAAACGGTGCTGGAGCGGGCTACAACAGGCCCTCTACGTACTATCTAGTAGCGGCACAAATTAGAGGCATCTTCGAGAGGTAAGACGTCAATCACTGTCCTCTAAAGCCGGCCGTACATTGCAAGGCCCCACGCACCCAACGGTGCAACCTAAGATGGGTGACTGCGGGGACGCGCCAAACCTAGACATGTCCCCACAGGCACCCATGGAAGACTGCGACGTCGGACCAAAACGTACCTGCACCGGGCAGCCGGTTAGAGTATACCTAACCCTCCCTTCTTACATTCTCTCCCTCACTGTCCCTCTGTGTTCCCAGTAACCCCACCCATCTCATCTCTCTAAATTTTCTATGGTCCTCTGAGTTACCCCAGGTTCTCTCTAGTCCAACGACTTTGAAGTCTCCCTCTGTGTGCCCTTCCACTGTAAAGTGCCTGTTAACCGGGATTCTCC